AAGTGGGCAAGGAAAAATAATGGAGGTGTCTTTACTTTTCACATTGCTCTAATTTTATTTAAGTAATTTGCTCCAACTCATAGAGCAAAAAGACCATTCCAGGTAATATGGCTGATGATATTATTCAGCGTTTTCAAAGTAATGGAGGTTTTATTACTGTTGTTATTATTTCTGGTGACAGATGTGCCAGCAGAACAAGGGCAATAATTGTGCACATGCATATTTGTGTGTCCCCTGTTTGAATTTATTCTTACTGCTTTTGGGTTTACTTAGTAAAAACAATAATTTCCTACATTTTAAATAACCATGTAAATGCAATACAAAAAAGATGAGAATGAAAAGATTAGATTTCTGTGTTATGTTACAGGTCACTCATGAGTGTGACCCAGGGAAAAAATTCAAGTCAGTAAGTCAAAACACAGTCATCATGCAAATTCATCGCAGTATGAAGTTCCCCTTGTCATTGGTAAGCAAGCTCAATAACTTCTTTAATGAACTCAGTCACAGATGGAGACTACACTGGAGACTTTTCAGAAGCAATTCTAAGTCCATTTCAAAAAGTAACTGTGTCAGGCATTTTGGGACTAAAATTTAAGCAAGAGCCCACCTTGAAAGGACATAGAATTGATTGCACGTGTCGGTGCCTCATGCAGAAGTTCGTCAGAGCAAAGGGAGCAGGGACTGAAATGATGACAGGTACCTGAAATGGCACCATTTGTTAATGCCCGCTGGTTTCATTCTGGGGGAAATAAAACAACCACTTCTCAGGCAGGGTCATATACAGAGATTTAAAGGTAGCAGTGGGAACAGTAAATAGACGGGCTTCCAGTTCTTTTTCCCAAAAATTTATTTCTTTTCCCTATCAACCCGTCTCAAAAAAATGCTTGCCAAGAGGAAGTCACCAAGAGGTCTGCACCCAACATCCCCTCACACCCAGAAGCAACCAGCAGCCAGGCTCCTGCCCACAGGACCTCTACTTTCTGCTTTATCTCAGCACATACAACATGCTGCTGCCTGGGGACGTGACATCTTATGGACTCTTGGCTCCAGTTCATGTTTACAATCTTCTGCAGTCTGCAGAACACCCTCTCAGTTGTTCCAGGTCACTGATTTTCCAGAGCAATTTCTCTGAGCTCAGCCTAATGCTCTGATCCTGTGGCCCCACAGCCTGCCCTCTAGGTCCGGTGGCAAATTTCTTTTCTTAATCAAACATACATACATAAACAGACATACCCAGTTTCAGCAGCAGGGGCAGAAACATGCCACCAGCTCTGTTTCTGCAGGAGCTGGTCCCTGCGGGCTGCGTTATCAGCTATTCCATGAAATGTGCCCTCAGGGAACTCCTGTGCCCCAGTCCCTGCTCACACAGAGTTTTTGGCAGAAGCCAGGCCAGCACCCTGCTGTGTCCACTGTTGGGGATGGCTTTAGGCAAGCATGGTCACAAGTTCGGATCTAAATGCCCAAAGAATGCTGATGTCTTGTTTCAGACTCCTGCCTGACACACACGATTCTCAGTCCAGATTTCCTGACTCCTAGCTCAGCCATTCTTTCTAATGCATTTTGAAATAGCATTATTATTACTGCTGTTATTACTCAGAAGGTTTAATTTGATCCTCAGAGCTCTCTCTGAAACTTGCACATCACAATCTCCTGGCAGGAAAATTGCAGTTGCTGTTTTGTTTTTCTTTTGAGAACGAGCTTGATTCTTTTTGTTGTTGATAAGGGCATTTCACATTTCTCTGGTGATGCAGGCCTGCAGCCCAGATCCAGCATAGAGAAATGGCTACAATTCTTCCCACAGGATAAAGCTTCAGGTTAAGGAATACTAGCAAATCACAAGTATGCCAGTAAAATTCCTCTTTATGTGATTTCACTGCAGTGAAATAATATTCAGTGAAAAAAATATGGTAAATTACCAGATTATGTTTATTTTTTTCTGATGCAACTATCAGCAAAGCAAGGATCGAAGAGCTGCTGTGTTTAAAGCCGGAAGTAATTATTTGTTCATCTAGTAGGCTTCCTAAACATCATAGTCCATTAAATTTCATGCCAGTATCTTACATTAAATCCAAAGGCTTTTGAAAAACTAAAGAACTTCGGGAGCTCACATCTTTTGAGGAGATTAAACTGCATGGTTTGGGCAGAACACCAGAGAGAGCAAGCTGGTGCGTGAGGAGCTTGGAATGGCAGAGAGCTGATTAGGTGGAGCATGTTCCCAGAAAGCAAATAGTGTTCTTATTGCTCAGGGAAGTACAGAACTGCTCTGTCAGTTTTCTCTGGGAGTTAAGCTGCATTTCTAAGCCCCAGCCCATGTGGTTGTGTCAGTGAGTGAGACACCCTCTCCAAACCCTGAGCATCTGCCTCAGGATGAAAGGGCGGGCTATGACCCCTCATTCAAACCTGGCACAGGAAGGCTGAGTCCAATCCAACCCAAGCAGCACCTGTTCCCAGCCTCCAGTGCAGGCAGGGAAAACCCAGCTAAACTGGGCTGTATTAAGGAAATACATTTTTTTCCTCCTGTCCTGATACAAAACTGTCAGGAAGGTTTGAATAGCAAAACTGGGAGCACACTGAGCATGCTATGGACAAAGTAACTGCATCAAACTGCATCAGCAAAACAAAGGTCAGCAGGGCAATCCAGTTTCACCGACTTCAGAAACAAAGAAGCCCTCCAGTGCTGTCAGATCAGTTCTCCCACAGCATTTTGTTAAGACAGAGAATTAAAGCTTTCCTTTTAAGAAAGGTTTCTAGATGATCCTTTCGCTGATAGGAAATCAAGTCTGCAGGGAGAAAATCAATTGAACAAACTGATTGCAGTTCTTCAGTGGTGCTGGCTGGTAGTCAGAGCTCTGTAGTCCCTGACACAGCCCTGGGATCATGTAGCATCTCAGTCCCATTGACTGCCTGCTCCTCCAGGTAGAGCTCTCCAAGGATGCTTAACCTAGAGGTCAGGTCATATTCTAAAGAAAATCCTGTTTGTGTTCACCATTTTTGTCATTTCTTTATTTTCCAATTTAAATAAGAAATCTGAATATACTTCACAATTAGCAACCAGTGAGTATGGAATATCATAAAGCAAGAACGTATGATGGAGAATTATTCTCTAGGCAAGGCAGCGGAGGAATGAGCATCTTGTTGAAGTACTCCAAGCAGCCACCAATGAAAGTATATGTTTATTCATTGGTCCCATCCAGTAGTGTTCAATTATCTAGCATGAAACTGTGCTCTACCTTTCAGTGATTGATAAGGAGTTGAAAAATACTCAAAACTAGGAGACACAAAAGATATCAGAAAGGCTAATACTAGCTAGATGGATATGGGCAGCCCCCCATTATAATCATCTCACAGTGAGGAGGCTGCATTCAAGAATTGCTGAAGGGAAGAACTGTGAAGATCTACTTTGTCATCTCATTGCATCAGGACCCATTTTCTTTGATTACAGCTAAAATCGATATACTCTGCTGGTTCAGGAGCACTCAGTGTATTTCTTAAGTGCTACTTCTTGATTATTGAGCAAAGATGAAGTAAACAGTGAATATTCTTGAAGTACCAAAGATATTATTCTGGATTATAAGTGAGTAGAAGTCACAAAAGTCTGGCAAGAAACCATGGGCTGCATAAACCAAAATATTCCATATTGTGTTGATTATCCCATTGTCTTCAAGGGATCCTCCTGCTCATTTGCAGTTGTAAAGAGTGTTAACTCATACAAAGGCAAAACACAGCAGGATTAATGTTCCCAAAAGTGCAGAGGAACAAAGTCTCCACCTGATATAATGAACATCTTGGGTTAATTCAATTAATTTCACAGACCTGGAAGGATGTAGTTTATGCTAAGGGCAAAGTGACCTTAACATGTCTTATCAGTGTCTTTGCAGAGATCAGACCTTCACTTGAACTCATGGCTCATTTGTTATCTTTGTGTATGTTAGAAGAAATGACTCTGAGCAGCTACACTGGTGGGCTGCGGTATCATGTGCATTCAGCCTTCAAGCTCCCTGAGCAACACGGTGCACTGAAACAAGGACATGACTGGTATTTGGCTCAGCTTGTACATGAATAAAATCAAAATGTCATCCAATGCTTCAGAATGAAAGAAAATAATTCTTTTGGACAGACTGCTCTAATTTTATCATCGCTGACTTAAGTGGCAGGTCAGGGTGAAAGTGCTTATAAATTTCCATGCTAGAGCAGGAGAGATTTGCCAGTCAGTACAGAAATAAACTGTACCCAAAATTTATCTTCTCTGACAGATTATTAGGAAGTGGAATCTATAGGTGAAATTTCGTGGTTTGTGTTACACAGGAGGTCAGACTAGATTATGATAATGGACTGCTCTGAACCACAAAAAAATCCATTGACTGTTAGCACAGAGAAGAATATGTTGTTTTAAAGTGGATGAAAACACTGGTAAATTTTCAAAGGAAAGAATGCTGCAGTAAGAATGGAATAGTTAATTTTTATCACTGATATTAGTTCTCTACCAAATGTTGTCTCCAAAGACTTTTTCTCTGCTTTACAGGAGGAAAAAACATATAGCCTTCCCCCTCCTCAAGTTTTGTTTCCACGTAAAGCAAAGAAGAGTGACCTCAGCTCTGCACAGTTGGCGACAAAGTCTGCATCTGCAGGTTGAAAATTTGTAAACCAGCAAAGCTAATTTTGTTGTAACATATATGAAAAAAAAAAAGAAGAGATTTACATAACTTTTTACACTCTGTAAAACCACTTAAAATCTTGTTCTGTGTTTTGTCAGTACTGCATGCCAAATAGGGAGTATATTTGATACATTTCATTGGCACCTATTCAAAGTTTTTCTGCACACAATGCAAGCAAATATTTGGCTTCATTTATTACTCAATATTGTTTAGGAATATTTATAGTAGGCATGCTTAATATTTATGTGCATACTGTTCATTGCAGGCAACACTCAGTGATATATATAAGTTCTGGGGATTATTTCCTTTTTGTTTGTGAACCAGGAGTGAGTAAAATCTTCCTACCTTGCTATGGTGAAACGGGGTAAGCATCTGCCTCTGTTGCACAGGAGGTGAGGGATGCCAGTATAGGAGTGCAGAGTTGTGCTTCCATATCCTCCTCCTAATTTGTTAGTAACAAGCAAAAAAACAAACAAAAAAAAATTACAAAGAGAGTCCTTTGCTGCAAAGCTAGCTTGCTATGGATGAAACTCTCCATCCTCACTGACTTCAGCTCCTCATGAACACAACTGGAAGACCCTTCAGTCTGGAGCTCTTAGAAAATCAACCTGCTACCTTAAAAACAGAGCTGGAGCAAATTGCAGTTTTCTGCAATAAATGATTTTCACCCTGGCTTTTTTAGATCTTCTATGTTGTTATTGAGCTACCTAAAACTTTAAAAACATTATTTTTAAATGTTAAGAAGAAAAAAATATCTTCAAAGATCCATCTTTCATGTTTCTAGGTGGCAGTAACAACTAGGGCTATAGCAGTATAGCTTGGACTTGCACACCATCTCCCATTCTACAAGTGATGAGTGAAAAATGGTTATTGAAACAGCAAGTAATAGCATTACTTACAATAGTTTTGTTCGAAGAGGGGGATTAAGAACACAAAACCAAGCCTTTGTAATTTCAGGAAACTTCACAAGAGACTTTCAGTTTGGTCTGCAGCATCCCTGTCCCGTGCTGATCACCACAGGCACAGAGAGAAACCTCACCAAACTTCGGATCCAGTAGAAGAGATCAGAAGTTACCAGGAAATCAAACAACCTTCCAGCTCCCCTTCTGCAAAAAACAAGCTACGTGACAAAGAAATCTTCTCACTGACTTCAGGTGACCAGCAGAAGCCCTGAAGCAATGGGAAAGCAATGGTGGTACTGACAGCACAGATGGTCCCAGAGCAGGCTTGGGTCCAGCTACAGGCTGAGCAGCACAAAGCTAATTCTGTGAGCGCAGCTTGAAAACGCTTGTGGTAAACTTAATGAGAGGCTTTTCTTGATGAAAATTGGCAGCTGTTGACAAGTTCAGTGGTTTTGAAGGGTTTCATTATGAGAGAATATGCAAACAGCCTTAACAAGGTTCTGCTCAGCTTTTCTATGCCTTTGTCTGCACAACAGCCTTGATTAGGTAAACACAATAATAGCTATTTCTCTTCAAAGGTGTACTTCTCAGCTAGCTGTGCAACAGCACAGGATAATTAGGGTGAAGAATCAGTCCTTCTGAAACTGGGACAGACAGATAGCTGTTTACTCTCACACTGCTAAAATCCTTTTGGAAATTTGGTGCCAGGTTTATGGGTTTATTAATATTGTTTTAATTATTTTTAAAGGCATTAAAATATAGCAGTGAGATCACCATCTTGGAGTCCCACTCATTTCAAAGGACCCATTGACTTCATAACCTCTAACAGAGACAAAAGTATCTTAACGCACTTCATTTTAGCCAAAGTGAAAGAGCAGCTAAAAAAAAGTGACAGATATTATATTCCTAAAATTGAGTCATTTGGACAAACTGTGAGACTCTTGTCTCACTCCCTGGCAATCAGAAGACAAAATGTCAGCTATTTTCTGTTAAAAAAAAAAAAAAGACAGCAGCCTAGATGCTAATTCTGGACTGCTATAGCTCTCCAGGGATTGTCCTACTGCAGATGACTCACATGACAGATGTATTTTATCAATACAGATTCCAAGTCATCTTTTGGCAGTGTGTTTTCAAGGACCATAGTCAAAATCATACACTGAGTTCTTTTCCAAGTGCATTATGTGCCCTTGGATTATGTGTCTGTGCTCTACATGAGAGTTTCAAAACCATCCAAGCAAAGGTCCCGGACAGTTCTCTTCACTTTTACTGAACAAAACACAAATTTGGCTTACTGCAATTCTCCTCTGGTACAAAATGAACCATAAAGATTAGACCAATTCAATTATGTCATGCCATTTTGTGTTGTTTTTTTTTTCCCTGGAAAGTGAGATTCTCTCTGGCTTTCCAGTTCTACACTTGGTGCACTAAGAAAGTGTATATGCAGCTGCACTTGAAAACAAAATCATGTGCTGCTTTATTCTGTTGTTTGCTTCTTTTGTTGAGCATTGGTTTTTGGCGGTGGTGGTTTTGTTTGTTTGTTTTTGCTTTGTCATTTCACAATATTGTTGCAATCACTAAAGGATATTAGGACAAAATATATGCATGGAAAGAAGGAACCTCTATACAAAACATATAACTCATTGAATATATATACTAAGCCATAACTAGGGTGCTATACACTTTTCACTCTAGCTCTCCCTCTCATAAAAATTTTTCATTGTATACAGCTTAAAAACAATCAGAATTGAGCACCAAGATGCAGAGCGAGCAAAAAACCCAGAGCAGACAGTCCAAAGCTGAGTCCCATCCTCCTTTTAGCAAGTCTAAAATCTGAAATCTTTAGCACCTTGTATACCAATGGATATCACATCTAGAATTACCACTGCCACAGGTGTCAGACACTGCATCAATACTCACAGCTGAAAACAGGAGCAGTTCTTCAGTTGTTCAAAGGACTCTTCTCAATATTTTGTTCATTCGAATGCTTTCCAGCGCTATCATCCTGTGGTACTGAGGTCTGCTTATCAAAAGCCTAGGGGAGAAAGTCTGATGTCTGATTCCAAACTTTTCATGCTTTACGAATGTTAAAGCTAAGTTAATGGCTAATGTTGGGGGGGGGGGGAGGAGGTTGGAGGTTTTTATTTCCTGAATTGTTTCTTCCTTCAGATAAAGGTGATTTCTAAAGTAAGTTACACAATATACAAAACACATATATAAAATCATATTGATTTTGACTTTAAGTGTCAGCATTTTTAGTCTTGTTAATTTATACGCACCTCCACTACATGTGAAAATAATTAGTATTTAATTTTGTTCCAGACAATGTTGGTGCTCTTTCTTGCCTGTCCCTCTCACCCAGACCTGCAAGTAATCTTGGGCTACAGTCTGCAACAGTTGCTATTACCGCTCTGGAGGAGTCCAGGCATGAAATCTCTGAATAAGGAGCTGTAGGAGTGGAGTTTCACATCAGTTTTGCCAGGTCAACAAAAGCAAACTAGGAAAACGTGACCAATGCACTCTCTGTTCAAGCTTCAAACAAACCATACCTACCCATTAGGAGGATGAAAAATTGCCAGACCACAGCATCAGAGCAGCCCTTGGCAGAGATTGCCCACATTCTTTCTAACCTTTTGAAAATAATATATTAATGTTTCTTTTGAGCTGCTATGTGAACAATGCTAAAGGGCTAAAAGCCCTTCTCCAAGCACCAGCTTGAGGCCTTCCAATTTGTTAAGGTGATTGGGTTCCTCTGGTTTTCTACCAGGGTTATTCCCCTAAATCACTTGATAATTGTGAGAACCTCACCTAGTTTCAAGTCTATGCCTAAGCTGGCCTGGTTTGATCAGTTTAAAACATTTTCAGAACTTTCAGGGAAAAAAAATATATATATCCATTATTATGCTTCTTAGAAAGGCTGAAAATCCCAAGTTTAATTTTGGTTTCAGTTCCAGCTATGTAGGGCAGTGGTTTGAGACTTGTCTGAGCTCAGCATCTTCATTTTATCAGAACAGTAACCCTGTTTGACACTGTTTCTCATAATGAGGTCACCTGGTTACAACTCCTATAAAGAGAGGCCATTCTGTGCTGCTCAGAAGAACATGCTACACGTTTCTGGCACATTTTACATGTAAACTATACTGGAGGCAGAAAACCTTTGATCAGCCTCTTTCCTTAGGTTATACCTCCAGTTATCACAATGAGCAATCAAGCACTGATGGAAATTTTTCATTTTAATTACATTCAAAAACTCCTCTAATTTCTGTATTATTAATATTCTTCCAGGCAATATTGGAAACCCAGATCTCATATTGTGACCAAGGTGTAATTTGAAGAAGCTCCACAGAATGGCAAAAGTGCTGGAAGCTGAAGGTTGTTTTATTGTTGGGGTTTTTTGTTTGTTTGTTTTTGTTTTGGTTTTTTTTTGTTGGTTGATTTTCTTTTTTTTTTTTTTTTTTTTTTTGTTGTTGTTGTTGTTGGTTGGTTGGTTGGTTTTGTTTTGTTTTGTTTTTGAGCATTAAAACACTGAGGCAATTTTGTGGTTGGCTCTATCAATAAGTTCACCTTTAAACACTGTCTTCATTTGCTGCTCACGAACTCCAAATACTCCCACTTTCAAACCATAAGTTTGGAAACAGTCTTGACAAAGATAATAAAGACTGAAAACTTCTGTCCATTTCTACTATTTAAAAATTTCTACTATTTAAAAATACTCTATGGGGGAAAAAACATGGAGTGATTCCCAAAGCCAAAGAAAACTTTATGAAGAAAGAAACATAAAAAAAAGAATGCAAGGATGTTTCAAGTAAAGCCAGGAGCTCTTCATGTGGCCAAACTATTAGAGCCTGTATTTCATTAGCAAGATATGTCCTTCAGCAGACTTCCAAGTACAAAATTTTAATAATTTCATATCTGAGTTTCCTTGCATGTGTAAAAGCAATGGACACCAATGAGTCATGCTGTGATGTGTACTTTAGGCATTTTTCTGAGTGGGGTCTTATTCCAGCCATGATGTAATTTTTTATTTTTTTTTAATTTTCAGTGAGAATTGCTGAGAAATCATGACAGATGAATTTCTGCTCAATAAGGCAATTGCTGTCTTCAAAAAATGTCTTGTAGCACTTGAGTATTGTGACAACAGCAGCTTAAGTAATACAGCAATGCATGTGGTGGAACAGATGGCCATGAGGAACAGTTACACATTCAAATATATTTAAAGGGCATGGTTCAGTGATAGGACTCAGATGGTCAGGTTGGACTTGATGTTCTTTTCCAACCTGGACAATTCTGTGATGCTATGAAATGAACTTCACCTAAAAAACACGATTTGTGGGTCAAGGCTACTGAGCTATGTGATACTACATAAACACATGTGGCTTATCTGAGAATTTGCCCAATATTGTGAACAAGTCTGCTCCAGTGCCAGAGCACCTCAGTATCATTGCTGAACTGATCATCAGGTACTAAGTGGGTCTGAGGATGCAGAGAAGATAATGGCAGAGATTACCAGAACAGGGAATTTTTTAAAAAAGAAAAAAATT